TGTCCAAAACATGAATCAAATTTATAAGCCAGAAGCAATTAGGATTGGGTCCATTGTTGAAAGGATGCGCCAAATCGACGTAAGGTCGGTCGACCATCAATTCACTATTCTAACCGGTCCCAGGTAGTTGGGAGATTTTTCGCATCCAGGCCAATTGGTAGTATTGTAGCAAGAGTCACAAAAACACTCCGAGGAGCATCAATCACATCACAAACTATCTAAGATAATATATACTATGAATATAAAAACAGAAACAAAATTCAACTTCTCATACAATTTCTTAATGATTAGAGAGTAGCATTTGCATCCATAATTTTGTTGGCGCCCATAGAGTTTTATATTTTTCTAATGATTGGAGAATAACATTTGCATCCTTTTTTATTGGAGTACCAATAAAGATACATCTAAGAGATTTGGGATCGAATTTGGTGCGATGTTGGTGGATATCAACAAAAATGAAACAACCAAAAACTTTCAATGGTAAGTCGAAAGAAAAAAGTGAATATGTGGATATGTTTCCAAAAGAACATTACTAAATGTTTGAAATTTTAGAATATGATTAGGGATTAAAGCTTCCCCCCAAATAGTCACATGATTAAAGGTCATAAAGGCGTGGGCTACCTCAAGTAAATGTATGCTCTTCCTCTCAAGGATCACATTTTATTGAGTTTTCACACAAAAAAAAACTACATGAATGATACCTTGCTTGAAAAGATACAGACGAAGCATAGAATTAAAGTATTGCTTAACATCAATTTAAAGATATTAATTTTTTCTTTAGAATTGAGTATCATAGAGCGAAAAGATCGAAATATGGTAGGGGTTTCATATTTTTTTTTATAAGGGACGAAGCATAGAATTAAAGTATTGCTTAGCATCAATTTTAAGATATTATTTTTTTCTTTACAATTGAGTATCATAGAGCGAAAAGATTGAAATATGGTAGGGGTTTCATATTTTTTTTTATAAGAAATGTGCAAGTCATTCTAGCAACTATATATGATAGAAAACACGGTAACTAGTTTATAATATTTAGTTGGAAGAGTCCCCAAATATCACTGTGAATTACAACAAAAAGATGTCAAGTCTTGAACTATAGTTTAGAATATACATAACAGATATGTTCTGCACGCTATCACATTTCACATTGATAGAATGATGCTTTTATTGATAAATAGAGGTGAAAACATTTTTTCAATATAAGCAGAATTTGGATGACCAAGATAACAATGCCTTAACATGACTTGGAATTAGAAATTAGATTAACAAAACTAACTAGAAATACAATTTGGCAGATGATCTTCTACCGATGAGATTATTTTCTTCGAGTGATTATAGATCACCATGTATCTCAACATTGATAATTACCTTCCCCGAATCCATTACCTAAAAATCACAAAAATTAAAATAAAATTTAGTCACATATTTTATGCCACGAGTACGTTTGCTAATGGAGAATACATTGGAGTCTATTTTCGGAACATAAAAAACATAGTAAAGATGAAGATCATTTGTCAATTTGACTAATCAAATTCTTATTACTGTAGTAAATGAACCATCGGGTGTTTAAACTATAAAGTGACCGGTGCATGGGTTATACTTTTTTAAGACATTGATATCTCGTGTCATATGATATAAAGCTCCCAAGTCAATTATCCAAGGTTTTAGTTTATTGGTTTGAATAGTAAGAGCATGGGATAAAATACCTTGGTGTGCCCACAGGCTGATCAATTGCTTGGTAGAGGATTGTGGTACTTGTTTAGAACTATAACCATGACCAAAGATTTTTTGCATTGCCTCCAGTTGCTCCCTGGTGAATCGACTAACTTCTTCATTATTGTTGAATGTGACAAAACTATTTGCACGGTTCTCCCTATTATATTTTCCATAAAAGGCCTCCAATCTATAGGTTTATCGTATAATTTCCAATATTTTTCCTTCACATGACTAAATTTTTTACAATGGTCGCACCATGATCATCCCTTCTTGGGTTTGATGTGATGTGATTCTGTCATCATCTATTTTTTCCTCTCCTTCCTTCAAACTTCTTCAAAGTCTTCCCGATGGTAGGGATGGGTTTAAATCCCTTGATTCTCCCTCTAACTTCATCTAAGTATTTATTTAATCAAAGGTGGAATTTGATGATTCTTTTTGGTCAAGTAAATCTCTTAATACAAGGCAAAGTCATCAAGGAATTTCAAAGAATAACCTCGTACATGTTCGGTTGCAACCAACATCATGTAGTCTGATCTCAATCTCAAATAGCTCTGAGAAATTTCCGTGCTAGATTGAGTTTCATATGTAACCACCCATATCATTGGTTGTCCTATAAAGTAGAATGTTTTCTCCAACCTGCGTGGTTATGGAATTTATCAACCATGACATAACTATGTGGTCATTAGTTTTCAGGTCTGATATTTTGAATCATTTATTTCAGGAGTTCAAATTTCACGTATGAGATGTTATTCTTTGCCTCTAGCACTCATATAATGAAAAGAGACTGCGACCACTAAAAGAAACTATGGCCATGCAGTTAATGGTTCATGACTGCATGAGAGGAGTTTTCAAGAACAATAGGAATTGAAAACATAGGCTCAAAACTGGAGGTAACTTTCGAGGAACAAGATTGTGATTCCACGCCATGTTTGACTATGATAAGATTGTGAAGTTTGAACCGAGGAGATCAGTTTCTAGACAAGTGAGCAGGAACTAGAAGGAGATGCACAACTCTTGGTTTCCAAGCATTGCTCACTCGGAGAGAGGAGGTCAGGCCATTTGTAAGTCGATGACTCCTGATGTAGATGCTAGGGCAAGCCAAATAGTTCGTCGGTCGGAGCAATAACAGTGTTATGAGAGGATGGGATAATGATTCAATCTGTTAAAATTGAAGAATTCGAACAAATCCATGACGCACAAAGGAAACGATCTGCAACACAGGAGCAGGAGTCGAATAGCAGCAGTGTCATGAAAGGACAATGATCGAAAGATCGTTGTCTTGGACTGCAATGACCGACCAGTGCCTATAAGAGGAGACACTTTTGAGATCTTGTTAGAAAGGAAGGATCAGGCAAGCAAGGTGTTTGAAAGAAGCAGACGATTGATTGAGGTGTTTGAACATAATATACAAGGAGGGATATGCGTTGTGAACATATCCAAGAGGCGAAGCAACAACACCACGGAGAAGAGCCAGATGATGTGCCAGAATAGAAACAGACCTTGACCGTGCGTGCGTAAGGATGGCGTCGAACGATAACTTCAGAGGTTTCTATGAAACTATTCTAGTTGAGTGTGAAGAATAAGATTGTGGCACTATGCAACATATATCAAGGCTCTAACACCATGCAGAATTCTTGAAGAAATTTTATTTCTCTCAAATCATGCATTACGCCTTGCTATATATATATATATTTAATATAATAAAAAAAGGAAACTAAATAAGAACTATAGGAAAAGGAAATATCTAAAAAAGTAACAAAATTAGTGAAATATTATTTGAAGAAAGAAAATAAATTCCTTCCAAATGAAAATTGATACTTTCCAGTTAATTAACGAATAGAAAATGAACAAATTTGGATTTAGTCGGCAATTTTGTTTGACAAATTAAATCAAACAGATAAGAAAAGCAATCCAAAAAATCACAATAATTACATGTTGCATATAAATAAACCAACATGTATCAACATGTAAGACAAATCTAAAAATAGATCACTAGGATTGCTAATCAATCGCTAAATCAAAAAAAAAATAAATAAATAAATACACGCATCTTGCTATAACAAATAAATAGTCTGACAAATCTAAAAATAGATCACTAGGATAGCTAATCAACCGCTAAATCATAAAAAAAAGAGAAAAATACACGCATCTTGCTATAACAAATAAATAGTCTCCAAAAAATGGTTCAAGTCTAAAACTTGATCAAATATTAAAGTACCATAAGGATAAAGAAAACATCAACATGCACAAAACTACAATCTAATTCAAGGAAAAAAAATATATTTTTTTTAATGCCTTCAAACAGGTACATTTATATATACCCCTGCACTAAGATAAATAAAAAAGAAGGAATTCAGCATAGAATTTAAGTGCATAAGTCATACGTAATATAGTCTCAGTGAAATAGAAAATCACTGATAAAGAGATATTAAATGTAATTAACATCATTAGATCTAAAGTTGAAGTTGGTGGTAATGATAGAGAAACACTTTTATGTTGCATGATTCATATGTACTATAGTTTAAGTTGGTGGTAATGATAGAGAAATCCTTTTATGTTGCACGAGCCATGTGCAAAATAGTCTCAGTGAAATGAAAAACCACTGATAAAGAGAGATTAAATGTAATTCACATCATTTGATCTAAAGTTGAAGTTGGTCCGACAACTAAAAAGGAATACTATAAGCTTCTGGTGGAAACAATGAACATATGAAATGAATATATGTTAAAAGCATAAGAAAATAATGAGTAAGAATTTAATCAACGTATGATGGGAGAAGCATCACCTACTCATAATAAAATAATAGAAATAAACGTGATAGTTTGGACCTCTTCAACATCAGAATATGCACCAATAAAATAAGTAAATTAACAGCATTTAGAAAGGGCATAAAAGAAAAAAAGTAGACCAAAGACACCATGACTAGAAGTTGTGCAAAATAATCATCATAAAAAAAAGATAAGACACTCAGCATTCAACACGAACAACTGATTTGTGCAAATTCAAATTGCTTAGTCATGATTCTATTGTGACAATTGTCACAGCTGGTACAGTTGCCTTCTACTCCATTCTAGCAATTTTATATTACATTCATGCCAAGAAGCATCAACAAGACAAGTACTTCCTACACCTCATGAGAGTACTAAGCAAACATTTAAATTCACAAAGAAGATTAGCTTGCCATAAGTAATTTAAGTAGATTTCAAACATAAAAAATCCTCTATGAATTTAAAATTATTAAAAAAAACTAAAAAAAATGTGTGGTTCAATATAACAACTTTTACCTTGGATTATAATTAATAGGAAACATTTTTTTTGTCGACATGGCATTTGCCAGCGATGCCAATGAACCAGGTCCAACATTCAAGTTCTGACTTCCAGAAATGTTGTGAGCAATGTTGCCCTTTATTTGGGATGCCCTCCGAATCCCCAATCTAAGCTCCCCATTACCCCCACTACAAAAACCATGAGAGTGCCATTAAAAAAATTTCAGAAAACAGGGATTATAGATTTTACAGTTTCCAATATACCGAAGAAAAAGAACAGCATCCCCAGAAACAAGTTTTTTTTTGTTTACAAATGCACTCCAGCCAGTTGTGAGCAAGTGCCGACGGGGTTGACCTGGTAAGAAACAATACAAGGATTTTTTATTACTTCATAATTTCTTTTAACTTCGGTGCAATATATGCACTCATCATGAAAATCAAAGCAGAAGTCAGAAAGAATGAAATTAAAAATCTAGAACAGATCATTCTGCTATGAGAAAGAAAAAAAATAACAAGTATTTGAAGCACAGAAATACAGCAAAGAAGCCAATCATGCCAATAGAAAAACAACTATGGCAACGAAAAATAAGACCGCATAAAATCAATTAATGCATTCTTATTAAAATCAATTAATGCATTCTTATATCTCACCCTCTCACATATACCTAAACTTATGTAATTTACTAGAAAGTGTGTTAAACTAAACAGAACACTTGGCTTAACAGATACTATGAAGAAATTCTTAAATGGAACAGTATGCTTTTACCACAAAATTATGACAGTGCAGGATCAATCCACAAATGTGCTAATAAAATTTTAACAGAAAGTGGCAGTCCGAATTTCTGCTCCTTAGCATACCCCTGTAAATGTGCCGAAAGCGCCACTCCACTCCGTGTAAATCTTTAGCAATTAGCTCTTGGGAAGGCCTCTGCTGTCTGTAATCCTGAAAGATGGAAATTTTGAAAAATATTTAGTTCGAATTAGCAGAAGAGATCGCCCAAGTGCCATCTTCTCTATGTAATAGAAGAAAAATGCCTAATTTACCAGAGGAGGAAAACAGTCCTCAGCAGCTCGGCGTGGTACGGAAAAGCCCCCATGGGTGCTCGTGTCAGATGCCGTGAGAGTCTTGCAGAACATATGCGGAACTGGGGATTGGTCTCCACCATCCATCTCATCCACTTCCTCCCCTTCTCCCTCAACGCCTCCTTGAATCTGCTTCTCGAATGCCTACAAGAAAAACATGAGAGGTAATCATCTGAACAATAAATAAATACATATCTCAGAAACAAAATGAAGAAACCACATTTTTGAAATCTAAGATCGAGAAAATTCGATTAGGTAAATTTGTAGGATGTAGAACTAAAATCCTCTATTTTTCTGAATCACCCAAAAAACCACTCAGCATAAACAAACCAGACGATAGAAATTACACATCGCAAAACGCTTTGTCAACCAAACAATGAAATACTCCCACATCTACACTAGAGCAAGGAAAGAAGTTAAAAAACTAAAAAATACAAATCAATGTTGGAATGCAAGTAGACCAACCTCGTTTTCCGCAATCATAGAGAGCTGCGCGTAAACCTCATCCGTCGCTGCATCTGCCTGCAGACAACCAAACAAAGCTCCTTTCAGCCGTTTAAACCCTAACAACCAAAGAGGCAGAAAAGGTACAAAATAACGTACACGAAGCTGGACTTCTACGACCCGGCAGAACACATGAGGAGGAACATCGTAACGAATCAGCATCCCTCCTCCAGCGGAGCGCTGTCCGCCGGCAAGATGCTCGAGGTGCCCCTGAGGCAAGTATACCACCAAGCTCCCCTTCCTTGGAAGAGAAATCCTCGGCCCGGCGCATGCGTGCCACAACTCCAAGCACATGGAACTCACACCGCCGGCTGCAGGTGGCGGCTGATGCGGCCGAATCCCCGACGGCTCCTCCTCCTCCTCCTCCTCGATCGTGTTCAGATCGATCCCCATCTACCACACCACCTCGCAAAAGTGAAACCTGAACTGTAGCGCGACAAAGTCGTCCCAGGAGCAATTAGCTCCGCCGGAGAAACAAAACCATCGCCGCGGCCATGAAAGAAGGCGGAGAGTAATAGAGGCTCGGCTTTATCTCCGGTTTAAATTAGGGACAAACCCGCAAAGGCCGAAGCGGGGGAAAGGAGGTGTATCGCCTACTCGGCATACGACTCATTAGTCTATGGGTAAAATTAAATATTTACGACAGATAAGAGGAGGAGGGAGGGGGTAGAAAACTATGAAGGCTAAGAAATCGAAGAAAGGGTCATCTTTTTTCTGGAGCTTTTGCTGTGGTGCTCAGCCTATAACATCAGCTTTGCCAAAAGCGGAGGAGTCAAAAGCGAGGGTTAACAATGCCTTCCCCGTACCGCCTGCACCACTCACTATCTTCCTTCCCCAGCCTCTACTCCCCCTTGAATCCAGCTGCTACATCTGGCATCTAATATCTCTCTTCTGCTCTCCATTATTTATTTAAGCTAGAAAAGGTGAGGGGATTAAGCATGCCAAACAGTCGGATAGATAAAAATGGGGAAAGGGAAAAGAGAGATGGAAAGAGAAAGGAGGGCTTTTTTTTTCTCCTTTTTAGGGGGAGGAGTAAGGGAGCAGTGGGTCCATCGTTGCAGAGCTGAAGCAGTGCAGTAGATGCTGGCCCTGTTGCGATGGCAGGGAAGGCAGATAGACCAGTGGGGTGTGTGAAGGGTAGGAGGCTCGAGCGGGTGACTAATGGGCTTTTCTTTATGGCCTTTTCTTCGTTTGTTTTCTTTTTCTGGTCTCTGTTTATTTATTGCAGTATCAGCTGACAAGACGTGAAGCCGTTCTGCTTTTCCGGGTGCTGTGTCTCATAATGGCCCCCGCTCCCTCCCTTGCAATCTTTATATTATACCCAGTTTTTAGGTACTTGCTGTGTGCGATGCATGAATCAAACATTGTACATTAATTCAAACTTTTTGAAGTTTCGCAGTTTTGTTGGATGAATTAAAGGGGAGATGACTGAGATATGTTTAATGGTGTAATTAATAGGTTATCACTGTCGAGACTTTTTGAGCTATTATTTGATCGATCGATGGCTTCAATGATTTTGTGGGTTTTTTCTTTTCATTCGTGATAAATCAGGAGCAAGAGAACTGCTTTGCTGAATTTCATTAGCATCATGTGTTTATCATTATCAGATAATGGTTTTTGAAATTTGGAAATGCTAATCTTACATTTTTTTGGTAGGATATTTCTACTGCTCAAGAGAAAGTTTGTGAAGCAGAATATTAAAAAAAATAAGAATTCATAGAATGGAATGTATATCTAAGACAAAAATAGTAAAGAAATAGTTTTTTTTTTTTGTTATTTATGTTATTTATGCGAAAATAATTTTTTAAAAATGAGGTAAGGACATAAGAATAGCATACCTCATCCTGTGAGAATAAAATTACACATATAACCATAAGAGTATTTTCAGGAGATTAAAATGACTAAGTTCAATGATTCTTCCAAGATAATGATGTCATCATTACAAATCATAACCAAAATAAGACCATGTCAAATTTATTAGAAGGATTGAGACAAATGCCATTTATTAATTTTAGTATAAACACCTTCAATTCAGTTAGCCTCATTTGATCATCACTATTCAAGTGATCATATGAAGAAAAAAATAATATTTCTTGAAGTTTATTTGAATGTTGCACTTCTCATATAATAGTCCATTCTCTAAGAAGGAAAAAGAAAAATAAGCTGATTACTTTATCTAATGTTCATGACAAAAAAAGACAAGGGAGTGTGTTCATGTGTGTGAGAGAGAGAGAGAGAAAGAGAGAGAGAGAGAGAGAGAGTCTCTTGGAATAAAAAGAGGTGCTCCATATCTCAAGGAATTAGAACAAAGAGCTTTTTTCATATTTTTTTTGTAGTGTGTTGCCCTCAAATAAATAAGATATATTGAAAGCTATTAGAAAAAATAAATCATGAATGTAGGAATCACCCTAAAAGGCCTAGTAAGATGTGTGAATGGACCAGATTTGAAGTTCATAGCACAACAGTTGTTTAAAATGCTGCCATGTTTAAAGATAAAAAAAGTGCAATGTAATGAGCACCCAATACAAGTGTATATATTAATTTTTAGGTGAATCAATTAAATAATAGATGTTCATTATAGGGGATAGTTGAAATGCTCATTATGTGCTAAATAGTATCCTACAAAAGATATCTCTCGAGGCCATAAAAGTCTAGGAATAGTGTTTTACTACAAGGTTAGAAAGATAAATTAATAGGTTCTCTATAGTATAAAGAATGTTATATGATTTCAAATAGTAGGAAGATTCTTAAGCTAGCATAAATGTACTTAATTAGAACTAAAAGTTAACTATCAGTATTTGTCCTTTGATTTTAAGTACTTTGTCATTGCACATAGAAATCATTTATCCTTTTAAAATATTTTACTTTCCTCTGGAAAGTTGCGTAAAAATTTTTTGACTCAATATGCACTAAAATTTCAAACTCGCACTTCATGCATTAGATTTGCATAACCTTATATGATGATTAATAAAGAAAATTAAACTAAATAAAATACTATAAAATTTTAAATAAATTAGACCATTGCATTACTACATATTATGGACATCTAATTCTTTTCATCAAGTTATAATTCTCCTTCAATCTATCATAATTCAAATAATAACCTTCCCATCTCATTTGCACATGACCAAACCATAAGATTTTGAGGTGACATGTGAGTGAGTCTTTTTTTTTTCTAGACAAGGTTACAACTTTAGTAGAGTCGGGCTTCATTCATTCTTATACAGGTTTGAATTTTATAAGCTCGTTGAATTTGTTATACTAGATTCAAGTCCCCAAATTGGACAATTTCATTCACTTTTATTCTTAAGCATTAAGGGAACTCTTTTTCGCACACTAGGAATTAAGTCCCCATTTATCTCCTTAATCATAGCATTTAAGTCCTAATATTTAATAAATTAAATTAAATTCCAACCTTAAAATTTAAATCTGAATCATAAAATAGTTTGAAGCATTGTTGGGACTTTTAGAATACAATACTTTCTATCTTTTCCTTTATTTTCTAACAACAGCTACTCTAAATTTTAAGTTGTGCCCTTCTAAAACCCCAAAATGAATATCCATCAAATTCAAACTCTAAAATCTATAGATACACGAGATTCATTAATTTTATTAAGATTTTTCATAGGAGATGACCTCCATTTGATGAAAATAACTATATTATTTTATTAAGACATATTGTTGAGTAGTATTTTCTTCTTTTGAGATGATATTTTATTCAAAATATTTATATCCAACCCTAAAATGAGAAATTTCAGCCCTTGCATGATCAACACATCTTACCATGTAAACAATAAGGTATTCTTAATTTTTCCCTCACACCCTTTAGACTTTTCCTAGTTATAAAAAGAATCAAATGTAAAAAAATTGATAATAAAATATCATTAGGGTTGCCACTTGATCCTTTCTAGTGGATAAGATTTGAATGTTATTCATTGGACCATTCAAATCAAAGATTTTTTTATGAAAGGATGTGAATTAAAAGCAATAGGAAGAAGATATAATCTTTGTCATTCATAGCATTTAATCAAGATGAATAATAGAAATTAAGTTTTATTCAATAATTTGCTACCAATTAGGCTTAAATGTGAATATAATTAGACTCACTTGATATTGGATTTGATGATTATAATTGATTTATGTTGCATGGGTCTCTGATACACCAAAATAATAAGTTGTTTTAAGTATACATTTTATGCTTATTTTGGTAGATATTGCACTTTAAAAAAGGGTATTTTCATGTAAAAAGGTAATTTCATGTTTTTATTGTTAGTATATCACCTTTAGGTATTTAGAGCAAAAGTAGCAAAAATGATAAAATTTTGAGCCAAAATAGCAAATTTTGGTAATTCTTGTTCCAAATGAGCTAGATTGGCGCCAGATGCACCATTTTACAGAATTTTGGAACCAGATGCACCACTTTACAGAGAGTTGGTGTCAGATGCACCATATTTGGCGTCTGAAGCACCAATACCCAAAACAGTGCAGACTTAAATAAGATGATGCCAGATGCACCAGAACTGCCGTCAAATGCACCAGAACTGGTGTCAACAACTTCAGAGACGACTTTTTGTGGATTAAGGCGGTTCATAACTAGTTTTGTGCAAATTTTCAAAGGAAAACTTTTTATAAACACCCCTTGGTGTGATTCAATGCATCTAGACACTTTGGAAGATTCTTTTATGAAAGGATATGTCTCTTGGATCAATGGACATGTCTTTTGAATTCAAAAGGGTTGACTTTTACATAGAATTTTGGAGGGAATTTTGAATTCATTTTGGAGAGAGGCAACCTTTAATAAAAGAGACGTTTTGAAGAGCAAAAAGTAGGTGGTGTGTAAGGGGGCGAAAGAGAGAGAGAGAGAGAGAGAGAGAGAATGTCAAGGGCTTGAAGGTTTTCTTCATGGATTGTAAGGGAAGAGGGAAGGTGAGAGATTTCTTCTTCATTACACTTCTAAGAGAAAATTGAGAGTGTCTGTAAGGAGAGAATAGGCTTAAAGAGAACTCCTAAATATTTGCTTGGGAAGCATTGTGAGATAAGTTATGTCTTTTTTTTCTTTTATTTTGTAAACTTATTTTTATATATGAAATCAATAATTTATCATATCCTTCTCATGAATTCTGAGTAGTCTTTACCATTCTCCCTACTTTGAGATATGATTTTGTGAAGAATTGATTTTGTTTTATACGGTTTTAAATGTCAATAATTTGTGATGAATTGAACTTCAATCCTCATTTACTTTTCGATCTAGTCAATTAAATTGTTAAAATAAGTTGAGAAACATATGTTCTAAAAGGGCTATGATTTCTACAATATGGTGAGAATCACATTTGATTTCATGAAAAAGGATGTCATTCATGGAGTTGAGTGCAAATAAATAGAGAAATATACTTAGTTGGATGCAGAATTGGAGGTTTTAAGGTGACAGATTAAAATCTCAAATTTAGTCTAGTTGATTGGAAACTGATGCGAGATTGTTAGCCCTCAGGTGAGGGAGTAGTAGGAGCTCTTGAGTGGCAGCCGGTATCCTCCCAGCCTAACCACGGAATTAAGGACCAAACTTTGGGTTATG